AGTAAGACCTCTGGCGGATTTTTTTTTAATTTTTTTTTTGCATATGCAGTGCAGTAATTTGGTGTTTTTTGAATTGTCTGTTTTTGTTTTCTTACACATTTTAAGTAGGATTATGCAGTGTAGTAATCACTCTTATTGCATCTTATGGTTTTTGCTCTGTCATTGTTTAGTTCTGTTTGTAGGGTAATTGTAAATTGAGTCTGTGTTCACGTGATTCACTATGTTTCTGTAAACCATGGATCACAGAACTAAATGTAAGAACTTGTGGTACAGGTATCTCATTTTGTTGGTTGGTTTGTTCAAGCATTTGATTAAATGTAAGATCTCTATATTTGAACATTGATTACTCTTTTTTTCCCTCTTTACCTTTGTAGGAGGAGAAGTGTACCCTGGAAAGAGAACTAGCAAGAGTCAAGGTTTCTGCAAATAGGTTAGATACCATTGGGGCTGACGAGTAGAAGGATGATAAGGACAAAGTTATGTCTGTCAAGCCATGACTAGAAGAAAGAAAAATATTACTGTTTTACTATTGAGACCGTCTCACAGATAACAATGTGCTCACATAATGAACAATCCCCTTGAGAGAGGAGAGAAGATACACAACAATGTTATGCTCATGAATTGATGGTTATATGACGACATTGAGGTTTCGTTTTCTCATCTTTAGATATTGCATAGTCGAAATCTGAAGCTGGAGACATCGCTTCACCAATAAGAATTACTAGCATCTTCATTTCGCTCCAGTTTGTGAGGAGGTATGATTAATTTTAATGTTTCAAATAAGATAATTGTGGTTGGTGGTTTGGATAGAGAAAGACTTACATTGTAGGAGTTACATTAATCTTAAGTTCTTAACATTTGATGGAGTGTCTGCAAACCAAAAGACAACAAGATGAATGCATTCTTCCAAAACCAAATAAAACTTCAACAACATAGCATGTTAAGAAATCACGAGTTACTTACCTCTGATAATTATTGCCCTTTTTGAGCTGGGAATTGCTTTCACTATTGTTTTTAGCTTTGAGTTCATGTTTTAGAGACTGAATTATGGATTATTCTTTTTGGGCCTGGATGAATCACATGAATCGATAACTTTGACTGGACAATTGAAATTCTTTTTTTTTTTCGGAATGAAAGAGATATTATATCAAACTTCAAAATAGAACAAAGTTCTAATACAAACACGACCCACAGCCGAAAAAGAAAACTGGGAGGACACGCTATAGAGCGGCCTAGAAATCCCATAGACGGGATATGACCCCCACAGGGTAAACCACAAGAGCACTAAAACACACAAAAGACAATACAAAGACCCCCACAGGGTAATCCCCGAGTGTCGGGCCCCCACGGGGTAATAAAGTGACACCCGGGCGCACAGGGACCAACGGCCCAAACCTAAAACACAAAAAACAAACACAAACACAAACACAGACAACACAAGACACTAGAAGCAGATAACCAAATAACATAATAGCCCTTCCTCGGCAAAAGAACGGTTCCAGCCAGCGATGATAGATCGACTCTGGGAAGAAGATTCCAAGCCAGAGAAAACACTACCGAAACTGCACAAATGCCTATACAGTAGCCGAACTCGGGCCCGAACCAATCCCTCGAATCAACCCATCTCCAACCGAGAGAGAATCGACCAGCCCCCACACCCACCCGGCCCGTCTAACACCACTAGCCGAGCCCAGGGTCCCCCGCCGCCTAACACCACTAGCCGAAACAGGGGAGGGTGGGGGTGGTTCGGTCCCTCAACCCCGACTGCCACAACCAGAAAAACTGCAACAAACGGAGTCCCGCCACTCCCAATGACACACTCGCCGAACAACACCACCACAGCTAGCCCTCGACCAAAAGCCTTTGCTCATCCCGAAAAGGCGGAGCCCCGCCGGAAATAGCAACGCCCAAAAATCGCGGACAGGGAGAGGAGAGAGGGACTTACCGCCACAAATCGGAGTTCCACCGGCGACTGAGAGAAAGACACCAGGCCAGACGCCGAACGGGCAGTACGCCACCACCGACCGAAGCCCCATCGACAATCGAAGACTAGACCTCCAATCGTGAACCGACCACAGCGGCACGTCGATGCGCAGCATCAGGAGTAGCCAAGCGGTCGAGGACGACCCCTAGCCGAGACTCCGCCGACGCCGAGGAAGGCAAATCGGCCGTCAATTTGGACTGAGCAAGTGAATTTGGGCGTTTAGGGTATAGGAAGAGAGAGAAGAACGGATCAAATTTTTTTGGACAATTGAAATTCTTGATTTTTCATAATTTCTTTTTCAACGTTTGGGACTTTCTTGTTGTGTCTGCAAACACTGTGATCACAGTAAACTCAAAGAAGGACGCTCCCTTGAAAGTAGCTGATGAGATATGTATAGAAATTACCCTAAGTGATGTTTAGTGGTATCACTAGGAAAAAAAAAAAGGCAGAAGGAAATGGAAAACTGAGTTGAGCAAGTTTGGTGTTTCTTCCCTTTTTTCATGTGTAAAGTGTGGTTGTCATTGCTTAAATCATTTTGTTGCATGGTCATAATCTTATACTTGATCGATCATGATCTGATCCTTTGCATGGTTTTATTTTTTTTAAATAGCACAACATAGTATAATAAATTGTAAGATATCATAAAATGGACTCACTATATTTCACTGCATCATTAATAGTTTTGATATCTTATCGTGGTTGTTTTTAGTATTTATTATCTCAATGGTCATTGTATGTTGTTTTTTATGCAGGGAAGGATGATGGAGCTCCCCACAAAAACCATTGTTAACATTTCCATTATTCTTGAACAGATATGAGAAAGACAAACCTTCTTCGTATGCTCCGTATGAGGGTTATGAGTGTGATGGTGTATACGGGATTAAGTGCTGGAGAAAAGCTGGCAATATAGGTATACAATTTTGCGCTACTCCATACTTACTGTCTTAGGACATCTTTTTCCGCCACGAGGCAGGCTAATTTTAGTGCACAAAGAAAATGACAACATTTTCTTAGCAAGTTAACAATTTTCGGAACTATTCAAACATTAATCTAGATGTTAAAAAAATCTACTATGTTCTTTTCTTTGTGCTGCCATTTCACCCTTTTTATGTGTCATTGTGAATTTGGCATGATGAAATTGTTTTTGTTTTTTGTACGTTCGTATGTATATGTACATATATTTATTCAAATTATATTCAATTAAGCATCTTTATGTTGTGGTGCTTAAAAGATTCTAAATGAACCAACCTCTCTTAGCCAAGTAGTCAAGGGTATTATGTTTGGTAGCAGATGCATGCTGTTTCGACTATGTAGCCGTTTATGGCCTCTTTTATTAAAATGATACCTAACGTTTGGAACATTGGTTTATTAGTTAATGTGTGTTTTTTTTTCGCTCCGACACTGTTTTGCCGCAGCGAATTGTCGATTTTCAATTGTTAAAGTACTCGAAGTATTGCACTCAATTATAAAGGGGTTGCTTTTGCTATCAAGATTATTGAATTATAGACTATATAGTTGTTGTTCTTTACTGGTTTGCATTGTCGAATTATTAGTCTAATGATCATGTGTTCAGTGTTCATTCAAAAATATTGCACACTTATTTATTGCAAATGTGCGCCTTTGTTAATTGAATTTGGAATCTCCAATTTCATATAGTTGAGTAATATTGCTAAAAAATTAAATAAACATTTTTTTTAATAAAATTTCAGCACATAGCCAGCATTTTAGATTCAGGTGGCAACCCTTTTCTTGTGTGTATTGTTTCATCTCATTTATGTTTGTAATAAAATGCAGAAAATAAATCCTACAAATTCCCAAACAATCGCCATAAGCAACACCTCCATTGATGCTGATCTGAAGAATAAACGATTCTTCCAAAATCTCACTTTATAATTTATTTTTTTTGGCAGATACTTTTCTCTGTGTCTTGTGTATATATGTATATTTATTAAAGGCATATATTGTATAGACTTAATGCCTTAATCCATGCACCATTGATAGTTATATATGCACTTTTATTTTTTTCTTTCAAAAGAGGAGCAAAAAATGTGTCTAAATCTACATCATCTTTGTGCTTAAATGTAACTTCGTAAAAAAATGTCACCAAATATCACCTAACAATAGAATATATATCTAAATCAAAAGTCGTTTTATAGTATTTATGTTCATTTTCAAAGTCATTACGGTTCATAGACATTACAACCACAAAAGCTGTGTAATAAGGTCTTTATGGTGAAAGCTTATTTTGTTAACAATCAGTGTAGAAATTGGCAGTGAATTCGAATGCTCATTAAAGGTGATGACAAATTTTCAAAGAGGCATAGAAAACTGCTATTGACAGGTATAATATATGTAGAGAGAGCAATTGAACTGCAACAATTGCCTACAAAACTGTGTAATGAACCATTTATGTTGAAAGTTTCTTTTGTTAACAACCGGTGTAAAAATTGGACATGAACTTGACTAATCATTACAACTAATGAAAAAAATTCAATGTATTTTTAGACTAAATTTGAGTCCGCCGTGCGTGCACGGCGTGACCCAACTAGTACACATATATATGAAGAAGTCAGTGGCATGCAAATGGCGACAAGTGGCTTAGTTCATGTTTGGCAAGTGTCCAATTTTAGTGCAATTACTTAAATGACCTTTTATTTAAAATTGCTAAACAATATCTTACACACATTTTGAGGCACAATAGTGTCAATTCAATGTCCTTAGTATTTTTTTTGTTTTTTGACTTTAATGTCCCTGTGTATTACGCTTTTAGGGGGTTCATGCGTAATTTAACGCACTTCTTCTTTCCTGCTGGCCTTATTTTTGCGGGATTTCCTCCCCAAAAATCCGGTACGACGTGCGCCGTAGATCTTCTGTGTCTTGACAGTTTCTTTATCTTTTCACGCAAGTTATTTTTTTCATTTCGTTTCTGCCATTTACATTCTTCTGGCCCCAATTTTGACCCTCTCTTTCTTTTTCGACCCTCTCTCTCTTACCTAGCGCAGTCAAATCATCGGCGTTAATACCGACTCGCCGGAGCTGTCACATGATTCAATCCATGTTTACCAGGAGATCTATGGCCACCGTATTGCTGTCTTTGAATGACATGTTGGTCGGATTCCAAAAACTTCACCGTCCAGAAAAACCCTAGCGACTCAATTTCGATCGTGACCCCCAGCTCGGCCTTCTGAGACCGACATCCCCCGTACGACGTCGGGGAGATCTTCTCCCTCTTTGGCCCATTCTGGTTCCAGCCCTGGCTGTTATCCGACCAGCGTCAGCCTGAGCCAAACCCGCAGCCAACACGGTCTCTGGACCGTCCTAGACGGTCAACAGGGTATGATAACTTTTTTTTTTTTTGGGGTGTGTGTGTGTGGTTATGATTGTTGGCTTCTGTTTTCAGATTTCAGTGTAGGAATCATGATCTAAAGGTTTGATTTTGTGTCTTTTTATAGGAACTAGTTCAGAGCCCGTGCGATGCACGGAGTGCACAATTTTAAGGCTATTTATCCAGGTTTATAATTATATACATGAATAAAGAAAAATATACGGGATATATATAGTACGTGACCCGTGCGAAGCACGGGATATATTTATTTGGAGAATATTATATTATAAGATGCAATATTCAATAAAAGTTTATAATACGCAAGAAAATTGTACAATGTTCAATAAAAGTTTTATAATATTCAAGTGGAGTCTTAAAGTCTCTTGTACATTAAGACTACTGACAAAATAATATTTTAATCAATGAGTTTCCTTTCCTTGTAGCCAAATTGTGAATGTGATTTGAGGAGTACAACAAATCGATATATAGCTGACTTGCTTTTTTCATTGTAGTTTTTCTTTTCTTTTTTTTTTATAATGAATTTAAAAATATTCTAAAATATAACAAAAATTAATTTTTTTATTACAATTAGGAATTTTACTAAATATAGACTCTCAATCTATGGTGTTAATCAACGTTTAAGTCTAAAAAATTAAGAATTTTTACCTCTTTTAATCAACGTTTAAGTCTAAAAAACAATAGAATTATTATAAGTTTTTTTCTACATCTTTTAAAACATTAAATATGAGCATGTTAGGGCTAGCTTGTAAAATAATTTATATATTATCTCACTAAACATTTATACTAATAAAAATTTAATTTTAACATATAAATTTATCCCTTGATATAAGAGAAAGTAAAAGTTTTACTTATTGTTGTTCACCATATAATATTTAATTATTATTTTATTATATAATAAAAAAGGAATATTGTTAAATAGTGTAGTAGAATTGTTATAAAATTATATGATTTTTTTTTACAATATGAATTTAATATTTTCTTATGATTTGATAATATAAACAAATCTATACTTAACTTTGACAAATAAAACAAATAAATGCTTTAGTAAGTATTTAATGTATATACTAAATAAGAATATATTTGGTATAATCAAATACCAAATATAATCAAATAAGTCAAAGTGTACATTTTTATTTGGTATTTGATTTTTTTATTATTAAAATCTTTTTATTATACTTACCTTTTTAAAATAAAACAAATAAATAAATTAATTAAATAAATAAAATATTATAATACTAAAATAGTAATGACATTTAATGCAGTTGACTTTTATGGGTAGTAAATGTAGTAAATAGAATCTCCTTTTATATAAGTATAAATATGATATTATATTATATTGCTCAAAATAGTAAGACATTTATTGCATTGATTTTTCAAACTTACTAAATTTCGTAAATGGTACCTCTTATTATATAAGTATAGATATAGATATAGATTAAGATCGAATCATGGGTTTTGTATGACTTATACAGTTGATTGAGCTTACAATCTCTAAGTTTTCTGGATGTTAGATTGTTGTGGTTTATGCTACTATTTTCAATCTTTCAACTTTTGGGATATCTCATTGCATGCTTCTCAAATCTAATATTCTTTTGTTTATTGTCTGTTTAGCTTACTACCAAATTGCTATAAATTATTTCGATTACTAAGCTATCCATTGGACTATTAAAGAATTTGTGTTCTTCGTTGTAGTGGAATGCAAACAACTGAAGCGCTTAACCTACAAATGGAGGTCAAAAAGCGACTTCATGAGAAATTGGAGGTATATGATTTTCTGCTTCATTGCAAATTCGATTAGCATAAAGGCGTTGTATTCCGTCAGAAATTTTTCGATAACCATTTCCCTTTTTATTACTTGTTTTATTTGGTGAATTGTTTATTTTTGCAGGAACAAATGTGCAGCTGGGCATTCAGTGTCGGCAAAGGAGACAGTTGAGGTGATGACATGTGAAATTAACGAGGCTATTTCTTATGAAATTTCTGGTATGATGATTTGGTGCTTTGATTTTTTAAGTTATACTTTGATGGCTGTTGAATTATTTGAATTATTAAAATTTGAATTGTGGTATGCCGTTCAATCCCATACTTATGCCTGATTATATTTTTTTTTGGTAACTTTCACCCTTGTATTTATCCAGGTCATACTGTCGAATCATGGGGCAGAGTACACCTTCACGGGCTAAACCAAGTCAAGTGGACATTTGATAGTTCTACAAAGGTTGAAACTGTATGCTTTAATAGTTTTATCATAATTATATGCTTGCACTTTTTTTTGTAGGGGTTTAAGTCTATCGACATTTGTGTCTTGAACAAGATCATTACAGAGACACCAATTAACACGTGTAATGGGAGCTTGTTTTGGTTGTGAGTCCAGGAAATACATGTTCACTTTCATGAGCTTAGGTGTCTGGTCAATGTTGTTATTAATATTTTAAATCACCACATGTTTCATTTATCTTTCTTCCCCTTTTATTCCTACTGTTGACATAACTAAACAGTGAGCTTTTTCTTTGACTGTTTAAACTATATAATTTTGCTTCTTACTGAAGTTATACTTTAAGATGGGTGCTTCTCTTGAAAGTTTGTTTATCAGGTATACTTTGTTGAGTGAGGCGAAGCTTCCCCATATGGTTGCACGAATCTATTGGAATTTCAATAGCTATGGTGGTAAGCAAATTGCATCACTGCGTGAGAATTAACAGAGCAGTATTTATGATGGAAATCAATTTTTCTATTAAATGTTATATTAACCTGATATAACAGGAGTCTAATATTACTTTTCTTATTTATCTAAATAGCACTAACCTTGATTTGAAAAACTGGATGAAATATTACAAGAGAGTAAAATTCTGATTCAGCATTAAAATTGGTGATCTGATCACTGACTTGATATCTATGGTTGACGTTGTTGGCTTTCTTTGTTCAATCTCAGGCGAGAAACATAATCCAGTGACATGAACAACCAACCGCGGATATCTCGCCCAAGTAATTCTCAGACCCTTTTCTCATGACTTGCTATGCCTTTTTGGCTTTCTGTTGTTTTTGCTCTGGTTGATCAATTGAATTTCTTTTAATTCTTTTGTTGAAAGCTTCTAGACCGCAATTCTGTCTTTCTTTTTGCTGGAAGCTTATTTTTTTGGTTCCTTATTTGGGTACGTTTTCATGTTGATATCTTAGTTTTTGCTGAAGCAATTTCATCATTTGCTAGGAATTATCCATTTATGCGCTTTGAAATTTATGAAAACTATTAGTGATGGCCATGGGTGCATTTTTAATGTTTTATAATTATTTTCTCTGGGCAAGAAATTGCAATTCGCTAATTTCTGTTGGATATGTTAAATGCTTCTACAACTTTCAATTTGTTCAAAAAAGCCCTATTGATAACACCAGAGAGAAAGTGGAAGTTATTGATGCAGGTTTTTTTTCTATTTCGCTTGTGTTCTTGAATTAATTAACATTAGTATCTTCATTCTATGAGAAAAAAAAATTGTTGGCAGTTTGAAAGAAAATGAAGAGAATTTGATTCTCACTTTTCTATCCTGAAGAAGAAGGATTTTTTTTGCTCATTTTTCAGAATTTGAATACATTTTTTCTTCACATCTTACCCAAAAAGATTTGTTCAGTATCTAAGAACCAGCGGGCGAAGCGAAGCCAGAAGATAACTCACCGATAAGAGAGGTGGCCCTCACGGTATCGACCATGGATGGTCCCTCTCCCATTCTCTTTGAAATACCAGAATTGGTAGGTATCTTCAGGTGAGGTAACTCTAAATTAATTCTTTCGGCTTTTCCTTGATTTTTTCCTATACGACTTCGGGCACAAAACGGGGGAGATGAAACGTAATGGTTCTTTCCTGCTATAACATTTGGTTCTTTTGTTGATTATACTGGTTCTGGTTTTCGTGAATGAGGCTTTTATTATTTGCATTTTACGCTGACATGGGTAGCTCCAGAGATATTGCAATAGGGCCCGTGGCAGTCGTTTCACTTCTTCTAAGAGCTATGCTGCAAAATGAGATTGACCCGGTCAAGAATGCACATTATTACCATTGGTTGGATTTCACGGCAGCTCTTTTTGCTAGCATAACACAAGCGGCCCTCTGCATTCGGGTTTAAACAGTTTAAAAGGGATTTTGAGTAATGTATAGCAAAAACTTTTGTCTTTTCGCGGATTGGGGTTCTTAATAGACTTCCTGGCATAGTCGAGTTCATGGGTAGGGCCACCATAACAATTGCTCTCCAACAGCAAAAAGGCTTTTTGGGCATAAAAAAGTTCACCAAGAACTCACATATTGTTTAGGTTACGCCAGTCTGTTTTCAGCTCTGCCCATCATGGAGTTAGTATTCTCTATCTCACACACGCACAAATTTTTTTCATTTGTGGCTTACGAGAGGTTACTAAATCAATGGGTGCGATCGAAGATGAAGTTAAAAACGCTGAAGGACTGCAAGAACTGTATCCACGTGGCCATTCCTAAGCTGCGGGATGGGAAAGAGAGGCCGCCCTGCATACCTTCACCCAAGCCCGAGGCGGTGGTGAAACCGAGTGCTTAAATAAGACTTACATAGGTAGGAAACATTATTGGAAAACTACCCAACAATCTGTCATAAAACCTTTGTCAAATATGTGCCTTTGGTAGCTGGTAGCCAGTTATGTTTACACTTCTTCTATTTGCGGGCAATTTGCTCAGTGTTCACGGGTCCGGAAGCTCCAATACATAGTTGAACTGAAAGACATGCCTTAAAGTCAAAAATCCTTCCTTTTGACTACATCCAGATGGACTTCATGCATTACTTATTGTTTGCATAGCCATGTTTTGTGTAATTGCAGGCAGACGGTTTTGAAGCTTCTGCGAAACTCGAATTCATTAACCAGCAAAATCTCATTATGAACATGGAGAACAAAGCACTGAAGCAACGCCTAGAGAGTTTAGCTCAGGAGAAGCTATCAAGTATTGTAAGTCAATATATCCAATCAGTCCCCGAATGTTTTTATTTTGCAGGCTTCTCGAAATTGTATGTTAATTTGTTAAGTAAATTGTGTTTTGAACCCTGTATGGTTTTCTTTTTGCTCATGTATTTCACCGGATTTCCGCAAGTCATAGGTACAACTTTTTTCTTGCTTTTGACAGAATTCCCGCACATGCAAGTCGGTGATAGAGGAGGCATCTGGTAAACACCTCCCCTCTTCACAATCTCTCATTCCAATTCTCAAAAGGAACAATTCAGTCACTCACATATTCACAGGAAACTAGATCGTCGATGAACAAAGACAAAGGCGAGGAGGAAGTCTCCTCCGGCGACTAGAGGTGTGAAGAAGCCCCACCTCTTCCATCCCAAAATGGTAGTTTACCATGAGATGAACTTACTCGGTTGATCCCAAGAAGAAACTATACCCTACTCTCAGAATCTCACTCATATCCCAACACGGCCGCACCTTTTTCTCTGTCTACAAGATTGCAGCTCATCAAGACTCCAACCCAAATTCAGGTATTGATGTCTGGATGCTTGGCTCTTTGTTGTCGTACACTGAAAAATAAACACTCGATTTTGAAATCAATATCTATATAAGTTCCCCAGGTTTCATGTCTAGCTAATTTTTTTTGATTAATTTTTTTCTTTGGTGATCTAAGATGTTTCTAATTGTCAAGGAATTTGATAGGGATCCAAGAACTGACCGTGCATCTGGTTTTTGTGTATAGAAGTAATTGTCGTTTTTTTGGATTTGGAGAATGTGAACTCATGTGTTGCTTTAGAAAGATTTTTGCTTTAATATGCTGAATAATTAATTTATGCCCAAAACTGTTATTGTACTGCTTGGCGAATGGAATTTAAGAGAATCAACTTATGTGTCGATTTATTGTGTTCTTGTCTGCCTATTGGTTCTTTTCTTTTGTTATGTGTGTGCATTATATTTAGTAGAGGTGAGATGCTTTTACAAGTTTAAGTTTTAGGCACAACATTGTTAATTCACTCTACTTGATAATTTCGTGTTGATATTGTCGTGTTATTACTCAACATTACTTGCACAATTGTTTGTTTGTATTTCCGCATGGTTGAATGTATCGTACATGTATCATTTTTTAGTGTACGACATTAAAATCTACCTTTGTAGACGTGGCGATATTTGGAATTGGCTGTGTGGGAAGCCTGGGATTGTAGACATTAGCACTTCTGAGTTTCTCAACTTCCATACTTGCATTGTGATCCATTAACACCCATGTATATATTATGTATAACTATTGTTTGAAGGAAGGTACCGATAAGGAAGGACTTTATCTTGGATGATTGATGATGTTTGCATTAAGTAATAAGGAACAGAAAATAAAAATAAGAACAAAAAATTCATGTGTAGCATACAAAGAGCAACCAAAATGCTAAAATAACGTGGTAATAATGTAAATAAAATGAAACAAGCAGGTAACTCACCCAAATCTACTTTCACACATTTATCTTCAGATTGATTGTGGATTGTGGTTCTATTTTGTGGTATGTTTCGTATTGAATAAAAACTTATGGTTGTAATTGTCATATTGTGCCTGCTTTTTACTTTGGAATTGCCCTCTATTCGGTCGGTGCCGGTAAACAAGTGTAGTGGAATTATTAAAATATTTAAGTGAATGCATGTAGCTTATCCATAATTTATGTGAGATGGTTCTATTACCTACATGGTCGGACAACTTTGACAACATAATTAGCAAGGAAAATATTTGGATGAACCTAGAATGCACTTCCTATTATGTAGTTTTCGCAACATCTTATAAATTTAAGATGTTGCAGGTCCCCGTGTTATTTTTCATGTAGTTTTTTTATATTAGTCCGCTTTGTTATTGATTTACACCGTGCAAGATTTCAAGCCTATTCAGGCAGTTTTTTCAAGCTTCACATTTTAGATTCTTTTTTATTTTTTTATTTTTTTGATTTGTATTAAATTTAATAATGATAAAAAATTATTTATTCATTGAATTGATTATTTTAAAATTATGTTTGACATTTCTAAAAAAAAATAATGATAAAAAATAAGGGATTGAACTGTCCCAGATGCGTACGTTTAACATACATCAAATTTTAACTTCATTGTTAACTAAATTTGAGTCGGCTTTGCGTGCACAGTCGGAAGCTAACTAGTATGTATGTATATATATATATATATAGGGGCTGGTTCAAATAAAAACTATGTCTGGTGTGAGAACCGTGAGAACCATATTTGATGCTATTTTTAATTGTGTATGATGCTATTTTTAATATTACATGGTGCTATCATTTTCATGAATGCTAATAAAAATTTTGTTGCTATTTTTAATCAAATACATCCTAGTTAAAAATAGCACTAAAACACAATTAATCATAGCACTATATACAATTAAAAATAGCGGTTCTCACGGTTCTCACACTAGGACTTGGTTCTCATTTGAACCACATCCTATATATATATATATATATATATATATATATATATATATATATCTGTGTGTGTGTGTGTGTGTGTGTGTGAGTGCAATACTTATAATCACATAAATGTGTACAAAAGATCAAACAAATTATACTATTAAATTCGCCGAGACCCCATCTACGGACCATGTTCTGCAAGTTCCCATTTTCGTAAAAAATAAGTGAATTCACAGAATAATTAAGTATTTACACTTTTATGTGTATTCTTTTGGTTTATTGATTTTTTTCTTCTGAATCTTGAATTTGCATGCTTGTGTTTCCTTCATTTTTCCAACAGTTATGTGTTCTTGAATTTCATCCAAATATCAATTGTGTAAAACCTTATTCTTCACACTATATCTTTTCCATTCATTATTTCCTTTGTTTTTCAATTAAATATCTTGTAAAACTTGTCGACTTTAAACACACTCATAACCATATATGGTCAAAGTGCATGTTTGCACAGGCAACACCTTCTTGAACGACTCCAAAACGCCGAACTGCAGTGAAGAGAACAAATATATTAATTGAGTATCCGCTTGCTGAAAATCCCAAAGAATATAATCACGAGTCGCCGCGCTAACTGGACCACACAAGATTAAAATAAAGGCTTAATGGCGGGAAAATACACGACCTTTACGTGTTTGGCCATTTAATCACCACCTTTAGACCTTGGCAAATAAATACACGACCTTCACATTTTTGGCAACCCGATACCTAGTTTGGTCTTCCGTTAACGGAAATCCTACGTGGCTTTTAAAATTGACGGACACACCGAACGGGCGTCCCAGTCAGCGCCGAGGTGGCAGGGTCGATTAGTATAAAAGCCGAATGTGCCTCAAATTTTCCCCAAAATATTCATTCACAAAATCGATTTTTACATGTTGAAACCCTAGATCATCGATTTGCTCCAAAATTCAGAGGGTGTGTCTTCCATATCATCGATTTGACTTCATGGTTGCAAGGTAACTGCCCTTTCTCTCTTGAAATGTTTAATTTGATTTTATATTTTTTAGGGATCGATTTGTTAATCTTTTCCGATTTTTCCAATTTATAGCGATTTCTTTCTATTGTTTATCAATCACAAGGGTAGATTTGTGGTTGTCGATGGGTATGAGGTGTATTATGGTGATTGTGTTGCCACGGTTACTGGGTTGGATGCAGATAGACTAGGTTATTTTGACATTGAAGATGAAATAAAGAAGTTGGGATATGAAAATTGGGGTAGAATATGTTATAAGCATCGGACAACACGTGAATTTAAAGATATAACAGATGATGCTGGTGTTATGGACTGTTTGGGTCAAATGTAGGGAAACAAAAGATATGTTGAAATATATGTGCAAACTGAACATTTAAGAAACCGTGTGGGGTTGTTGTGTGTCAACAAGAAAATGAATCTAGGAATAGGGTATCTGAAGTTGCTGAGGTAGACCAAGCAAAGGATACTAGTGAAAAGCTGGTTGATACTAGTGACAAGCTGGTTGATACTAGTGACAAGATGGTTGAGTTTGCTTTAGATGAAAGTGAGGATGAGGACTATGAACCATCTGGAGAATCTTCAAGTGATGATGGTTTGTCTGAGGAAGATTTAGGTACAGATGATGAGGAGTATCTTGAGGCCAGGAGAGAAGTTTTGAACTCCAAAAAGTCACAAGATGCTGGAGATGCAAACATTTCCTTTGCACAACCATCTGCACATCATGAGGCTGATGACAACATTACACCTGCAAAAGATATTGAGTCAGAATATGAAGATTCTGAAGGGAATGTGAACACTGATTCATCTAGTGGTGAGGGTTTTGGTGATGATGATGATGAAGCAAGGCCTAAGAAAAAGAAAATTGTTTATGATGGTAAAGGAGATCTGCAGGCATTTCAATTTCAGCTTGGGATGAGGTTTGAAAGTATTGGACAATGTAAGAAGGCAATTCAGAGTTATGCAATCTATAATGGCTGCAACATAAGTTTCTTCAGAAGTAGTTCAAGTCAGGTTGAAGCTAGGTGTGAAGTGGGTTGTCCATGGAGGCTTTATGCTAGTCTGATAAAAGGTGAAGGTAGTGTGGCTATCAAGACCTTTGTCAATACCCACAACTGCCATAGGGACTTGAACACTAAACAAGCAACTGCTTCATGGGTTGCTGGGGAGTATCTACCTATGATTAGGAAGAAGCCTAAGATGAAAATTTCTGATCTATCAATGAAAAATATAGTGTGCAACCCTTTAGGTGGAAACTGTACAAAGCAAAAACTAGGGCTCTTGAACTGCTTAGAGGTACAGAGGAGAAGCACTATGGAAAACTAAGGAGGTACATTTCAGAGCTTCAAAGGGTTGATAGAAATGACACATTTCAGCTTGTCTTGGAGAGTGGCAGTGTATTCAAAGGTTTTTATGTTGGTTTTAGTGCACTCAGACAAGGTTTCTTACAAGGCTGTAGGCCAATAATTGGTTTTGATGGGTGTTTCTTGAAAACCTTTTTAGGAGGTGTTTTATTGTGTGCTGTTGGGAAGGATGGGAACAACCAGATATTTCCCTTGGCATGGGAAGTTGTGGATTCTGAGAATGAGAGCAATTGGAAATGGTTTCTAGATATTCTTTTTCAAGATTTGGGGATAACAGATGAATTTGGATGGACATTTATTAGTGATCAGCAAAAGGTTAGTTTTTGAATCATATTACATGCATATATATATATATATATATATATATATATATATTTCTTCGTTTGTCTTTCCTCTAATATATGTTCTTCTTTAACTCATTATGTCGGGACTCATTGCTGCTATAAGGGATCTCTCACCACATGCAGAACATAGAAACTGTGCACGGCATGCGTACATGAACTGGAAGAAATCTCACAAAGGCAGTGCACTTAAAAGCTGTTTCTGGAGGGTAGTGCATAGCACATACAAGGCAGCCTATAAGGAGGCACTTGAAGGGATGAAGGTAGTGGATAAAGAGGCTTATGAGGAATTCATGAAGCTGGAAAATGTGAGGTTCTGTAAAGCTTTTATCCTTGAGAATCCAAAATGTGATATGATACTTAATAATGTGTGTGAAACTTTCAACAGTACCATAGTGAAGGCAAGGAAACAACCTATTGTTGACATGCTTGAGAGTATTAGATCTTATGTAATGGAAAGGCAGTGTCACAAATTTATGTTGACCAGTGGAGTAAAAGACACAATATGTCCTAGGATAAGGAAAAAAATTGAGGAAAATAAGTTGAGTAGTAGGTTGTGTGTGACCAAACCTGCAGTGGGTGAAAAATTTCAAGTTGCCATATCAGATGATCAATTTGTAGTTGATTTGAAGTGCATGACATGTAGTTGTAGAAGCTGGGTTTTATCTGGTATACCATGTATCCATGTTTGTTCTGCAATTCATTACATGAAGAGGGATGTAGTGGATTTTGTCAACCCATACTTCTGTGTAGAAAGAAATTTGAGAGCATACTCCTTTTCTCTTGAACCATTAAATGGACCTAAAATGTGGCCTGATGCATCTGGGTCCTCTGTCAAGCCACCTCCATGTAAAAAGATGTCTGGTAGACCTAGAATAAGAAGGAGAAGAGCACCTGAAGAAGAGGCCAAGAGTGACACTAAGCTGAGGAGATTTGGACTGCAAATGACTTGTAAAAAATGCAAGAAAATTGGGCATAACATCAGGACTTGCCCCGATGAAGCTGCTCCTGCACAGACAAGAGTGAGTTTTATTGTTAGTGCTTATTTATGAACATTTATGATGTATTATGCTAATATCCTTCTTGTTAAATTGCAGAAAAAGAGGGGGAGACCAAGGACAAGGGAGCAACATGTGGAGTCTTCTGCAAGAGATTGGCAGCCAACAAACCCAACACCAGTCCCAACACCAACACCTACTCCACCAACAAACCCAACACCAGTCCCAACACCATCCCCAACAGCACCACCACAAGTACTACAAACACAAGCCCCAATAGCACCACAAACACAAGCCCCAATAAAAGCCCCATCCACAAGAGCAACCACAACCAGAAGAGAAACCACAGTCACAAGAGCAGCCAGAACAGCCCCAACTACAAGATCAGCCACAACTGCTATGCAACATACAAGGAAGAGTACCAGGATCAGGAGTGTTGGACAATCATCTCAAACTGTGCAAGCTATTAGGGCAAGAGACATAGCAATGGTAAAAAAGCTAACTTTATTTTCTTTCATAAAGCTAAATGTCAGTTTAGTTAACTTATTGTTGTTTTCATTCTTTAGGCAAAAAAAGGATATGGTGTGATGGTCAGACAGAAGACATTTATATGAGGGTATGCATCATTATTTACCATATTTTTCCCTGTGCCAATTTGTTATGCATTTTTCAGAAATTTACTTAATTTGTTCCACAACTGCTTAATGAGATACCAGGGCAAAGTAGAGTTAACTTTGTACCTAACAGCAGACCTGGATCAGCACATGGACAAAAGAAACAAACATCCAAGAATTACCCAAGAGATCAGGGGAACCAAGAGAGTGTTTGCAACTTTTCACCTTAGTTGTCATGGATATGTACTGTTGTTAGGTTTTCGGGATGCTGTTTCTGAACTGCCTTGTTTTTTTTATGTTTTTGGTTGTTGGATTGGAGATGCAGTTGTAATTTCTGAATTTGGATTGGATTTGATGATTCTAGTTGTGGAATTTGGATTGGATTTGACTTTGAATTGACTAAGGATGGCAGCAAGACTTTTGTTAGTAAACATGTCTTCATTTTCCGGTTGTTTGGTATTTAATATGTTTGTACACAGATTTGTGCTGATAAGATGGTTGTGAAGTGAAATAAAGTAACTGTAAACCTAACCAAAATAAGCCAAAATGATCATTGTCAATATTAGCATACAATATATTGCACCAACATACACATACACTGAAATAAACTTACAGAAAACATAAGCTGATTCAAAAAAATAAATTCCATAACAACTGCAAAGTATTCAAAAGGCAGCATCAGAAATGGTTTAATGTCAATACATAACCGAGATGAAGTTACAAAAACTTAAAGCTAATTCAACATCAATCAATCATTTTCCCCTTTACCCAAGGAAAAAAAGCAAAACAACAAATAACACAACTGACACACACACAATACGGTTTCTGAAGATGTTTCTCTTGGACAAGACTTGTACTTGCTCCTCCAAGTCATTTACTTTGGATTTAAGACACAAAAGTTCATCCTCCTTCATTTTCAGCCTCTCAGCCATTGCTACTGCAGTATTTTCTTCGCATTTTAGTTGCTTCTCCAAGTCATTTGCTTTGGATTTAAGATACAATAGTTCATCATTCTTCAATGAGAGCCTCTCAGCCATTTCTACTACAGTGACTTCTTTGCATTTTAATTGCTCCTCCAACAATGTCTTATCAGCCTCCAGTTTCAGAAAACATGATTTCTGAAATGGTCCAAGTTCCGGATCAATCCAAGAAAAGTATCTACAGGGTTTCTTTTACAAAGAAGCAAGGATTAGAACAAATCACATAATCTGAAAACCCATAAACTATGTTCATGTCATAAAGCCAAAATTTTTCAAACTGTGCTCGTAAATTCAACTAGTATTTTCTGAGTTCATTTCATCAAATTCAACTCGCACTTCACATTGAACAGGACAATTCATCTCAGATCGGCCACGCATGAAATTACAAGAACTACGCCAAAATTGCAGTCATATCGGCATAATTGCACTCATATTGACACAAAACATAATCAAAACACCAAATTGCAACAGGAAATCTAACTCACCTCTGGGTTGATGCAACGTCGAAATCGACGACAAGGATTGAGGTCGGAATTTGATGTGAATATACCAAATTGCAACAGGAAATCGAACTCACCTCTAAGTGCAGAACAACAGAACGTAGAACTTGTTTAATCTAACATGATTCTCATTCATAAAAGGCAAATGTGTAATAGCATGCAAAGCTAAGCTTTCAGTATATAACACTAACAACATAAACAAAAAAAAATATTGTAAACATTTTGCAAAAGTTATTTATTCTAAAATTAATATTATATTTTTTTTTTATCTTATAAAACGATTGTATTTTTAAGTAAGTTAATTTATTTTAATGTTATAGTAAAATTCCTTAAAATCACTTAATCAAATGTTACAGTAGATTTAATATTTTTAAGCTAATAAATTGGCGATCTCTCAAAATTAAATTATTTATTATATTTTATGTAATTAATATAATGGTTCATATGCAATCAAATAGTTATGCACTATTTATTTTAAGCAATGATCAAATTTTAATACGTAATATCATTATCTAACTTATATTTTTATTATTATATGCACAGGGCCGGCTCCTTGTGGAGGCAGCTTAGGCCCATGCCTAGGGCCTCCCCATATATTTGGGCCTCATTTTTTTTTTTTTTTAATATTATGTATTTGTGATGATTTTGGCCTATTTGCACATATAAAGTGACTAATGAATGGACTAATGGCAAAATATATACTTTGTGTGGAAATTTGAGGCCCTAAATATTTATTTGTTTTCTTATGATGCTCGGTTAGAACAATTGTGCGAAAATAAATATTCTTTGCAGTGATATGATTTTTATTTTCTTTTCCTTGTTGTTCTCATAACTGCTTGAATATAAATTATTAAAGATCTTTATGACCCATAGGTAATTTATCAATCCCAAGGTCTAGAAAAACAAGAAAAAAATAATTTTTTTCAATTATTTATTTATTTATTTAATATTTTTTTAAATTAGATTTTTTTCTTCTATGGTTTTATCTGCAAATAGCTTAATTACCACGCAAGCTCAAATCGAAAAATTCGAAAAGGACAAATTTGTCTAGGGCCTCCAAATTTCTAGAGACGGTCTTGTATATGCATAAATATAACTTATAATACTCTATGTTTAAAATATAATATCATTGTATAACTTACAAATTTAATACTATATGCATAAATGTAACTTATAATATTTTATTTACACTGTGCAAATACACAGGGTCAGATACTAGTTAAAAAGTAAACATGGCGCCTACTGAAACTCAGTTGTAATTCCCGGCGAATTAGGCGAGCCTCTGTTTTGTGTCTCAAACGCACACACAGATAGAGAGACCAAAATCAGAAATTCGAAAATGGCTGCGAACTTCATCGCTGTTGAATGTTCCCACTGCTGCACGATGCAGGCAATTCTCTGTCTGTCTCTGTAATTCTCAAAATGAATCACTGGTGTGTTTCTGTTTGTGTGAGAACTTATAAATTGGGGAAATGGCAGGTAAAGCAGCAGAAAAAGAGCAGCAACAAGTGGAACTGCGTGGTTTGCAATCAGAAGCAGTCGGTGCGCAAGGTGTTTGCTCAGAGCTCCATGGCTAGGGATGTCCGCAAATTCGTCCAGGCTTCCAACATGTCCCGCCAGATGTCCGATCAGAAGCACCTGGAAGTCGAGACCCTCGAAATTCAGGAGAGGCCTAAAAGGAATGATTGGAACGAGTATGTTGATGTGGATGACAAATCCGGCTCACCTCACCCTCAAGGTGTTTGATTAAATGTCTACAACAGCTACTTTTTTTTTTCTCTCTCTCTTTTCTTTATGTAATGGTTCCTTTATTTATGAATTTGGAGGGACAGGGAATAATGATGGAGCGGAGCTGTTGGTGGTGACTGAGATGCCAAAGCTGCTGCTCAAGAAGAAGCAGAAAGTGATGGACTGTTCTCGTAATGGATATGGCTCCGAGAAGATGTTGAAGCCCATTTTTTCGGGCACAAGAAATGGCAAAAGACGTCTGGATGAAAATTATGAGGGTAAATTGGAAATGCAGTTGCTTGTGTTTTTTTAATTTTGTTGAAAGAATTGACTAGTGATGAATTTTGGTGGAAGTGCAGATGCTCGACTTGAGAAAGTGTGTGATGATGTTAGTAATGAGGAGGATCTGGATCTGGATCTGGATTATGCTACTAAGTGGAACCTTTTTAAAGCAGAAATTCAAGATAGCAACAGAAACAAGATGGAGGGAACATTTATACAGAAGAAACCGGTGAAGAGACCAATTTCAAAGTGGAGTGCTTATGTGACGAGAGAAAGCGAAAATAATGATGAAACTGAGGCACCAATGGCACAAGCAAGTCATAGAGTAACCTCCAAAGGACCACTTCCTAAATGGAGTAACTTTATAAACAAAAAAGAAGAAAAAAAAGAAGAAGATGATGATGTTAATGCATTGGAGAAGTTGATGAATGATGAAAGGGTTGAGGATGATGTTCACCCCGACTTTATGTGAGTTATAAATTTTAGATTGTCTGATGGACATGGGTAAGAGTTTTTTACTCTACGATCTTTATTATTTTGCAGAAATATATGTAAGTGTTTGGACATGAGTAGGGGTGTGTATGAATCGAGTTGCATATCAACGGTGTTAGCATTGAAGATAGAATTGTGTTTTTTTAGTTTAGTTTAATTATTAACTGAAATCAAATTTGAAGGAGCTTTAGTCAGCCAAGCAGGGATTGTTTGATATATTTACACAACTCTCGACTGGAGGACTTGATCACAGTATATCACTTCAAAAAACGCATCCTACGTGTGTGTGTGTGTGTGTGTAATGAATGGATGAGATTGAAATTATAATATAGGCTTCACAAATTGATTAATGCATTTGTGGAGCCTTGGGAATCTGTCAAACTAGTTTGTTTACTATAGATTCAGACCTGGTAAACTCTGTGAACTCTGTGAATTATATGAATATAAGATAGATGTATGTTGATCCAATGGGATGACATTCACTGTTAAACATGGTCAGTGGTCACATTCCATTATGGGTCTGTGTATTTATTTTATACTCCCTCCATTTTGAAATATAAGGCATTTAAGGTTATTGCACAAATATTAAGGAGACATTAATTAATGAATAAATTGACTAAATTAACCTTATTTACTCTAATCACAACCACTCCACACTTCCTTAATTCAACACAATGAGGGTATATTTGGAAAAAAATGCAAAAATTTGTCTTGATTTTTGAGCGCGCCTTATATTTCAAAAAAAATGAAAAATCTTTATACGCCTTATATTTCAAAATGGAGGGAGTATATTTCTATCCCCACCCCCACGAGAATATTTACTTCTGTTTATTATTCTATTTGCATTTGCGTGTGTATTTATTTCTCATCAACTTTGTCCTTGTCACTGGGATCATAACTCAGGGTAATCCTTGGTGTTCGGATTAAAAATAAAAAATAAAAAAATAAAAAAATAAAAATACCTCTAACCTGTTCAACAGTTTTTAATATAATAATATTCAGTTCAGACTGGAGACCCAATAAAATAGTTTCAAATCCGAATATCATCATGTCTTGCTCGCATTTTTTTTTTCTCAATTTGTTGCTCATGTATATTAGCAGCCAATGAAAAATGACCAAAGAGAAAAAAGTACGAGGGTAGAAAACAAAACGAGATTAATGGTGAGACGACAAGAAAAAATCACCGGCAATAGGATCCTCAAATCAGTCAAAATGTTGACATTTATTATTTCTCTGGCATACAAAACAAAATCAGAAGCCTGCTTAATACAGCTGACTTCCACGAAATAATAATAACAATAATAATTTACCTCAATCAATATTATTTAGAAGACAAATATAGCAGTCTGTCTAACTTATAGCTGAACAAAGTGAGAAGATGGTTGTTAAGTTAATTAAGCCATGTGAATCGCTACACGAAGCACATCCAAAGCCTCAAACACTTTCTTCTTGAGAGCATCTGGGGACTCGATCAGGTGAAGCACCTCTGTTTGGTCCATCTCCAATAACATGCCCGTCACTTTTCCAGCATGCTTGCGCTCTATACGTTCCACAAGAGGGTAAACTTGTTCCCCAAGCATCTGCACAGTTAATCAGTACATGACAAAAATGTCCAACAATATTTTCCAAAGAATAAAGAATAAAGAGGGCTTACTATACGCTGGTTTTCGGGAGAAGCAGAGGCCAAAGCTGAAGCAAGAGTTGATCGAGATAACGGCACTGAAAGAGGGAGCATTGAAGGATCTTCGCTGTTTTGACCATTGGGAGTGTATCTGTTTGCGCCTTGATTTGAGTTCATCTGGATCAGAAAGTGAGATGTCATATATTGGGTCAAGTTTTTTTATAAATGCATAATCAAAGGAATTGTTGCATCAACAAAGTGAAAAATCGTTAAGGAATGAAATTGCAAAATCACAAAAGTTAAGCCGAGATGCAGAAAGCAAGAAAACCTGTTGTGGCTGCTGTTGAGGATTTGAACCTCTCCTGGCAGCTAACCGTTGCTTTTGGAATTGTAATGGCATGAAGAAATTGGAAGGAATGCCCTGAAAACAGAATGCGGGTCCCTGAGGAATTAGCCCATGACCAAAATAGAGTTGCTGATGAGTGAGCCTGTTAGTTCCGGGAGAACGCATCTGAGCAAAATGTGCCTAAACAGATGAAGAATATGTCACCAAATGTTAAGATAACGAAAAGTTCAACTCGCACTACATTTTTTACAGATAGTATAATCAAAGACAAGTATAGTACTTAGGAAATCCACTAAAGAATGTCCTTGAAGGCAAAGTGAGCATTTTTAATTTGATGATAACTAAGATAAACTATGCATATATGCAGCAAATTAATATATAGTTACTTGTATGAGTTGTATCTAATTCTGTTAAGTTCCTACTACTCTCTACTAGCTCTCTACATCACCTGCAGCCAAGCTTTCCTTTCTTCTCTACGTTGTGCTACCGCAATATACAAAGGTTTTCCACCTACCATCTTCCCGTTCATGTCAGTCAACTAAAAAACAATTCACAACAGATATAATAAGAGACAATACACTGAAGCAAATAGGAGGAAATCTCCTTTGCAATTGAAAATTAATTCATAGGCACTTATCTATCTTACAGCTTTTGTGGCTTCTTCAGGGTTGGAAAATGCAACAAATCCAGCACCCTTGCTCACTCCATTTGGATCGCGAATGAGCTAAATGAGAGAATGAAATTAAGAATATTTTAGTATGAGAAATACGAGCAACAATATCATATCTCATGTACTCTGTATTGTGTACCTTGCACGACGTAATCATTCCAAACTGGGAGAACAACTCCTTGAGCTTCTCATCATCTATGCTGTCATGTAGATTTTTCAAGTACAAATTAGCAGCTTTTAATTTCTCAAACCTAGAAATTCTTTCTTGTTCAAATTTGGCTTTCAGTTCTGCCTCCCTTTCAACTTTCTTTGCAGCCCTCCCAACATACAATACCTTGTCATCTAACGACGACCCGTTCAAACTCTCAACTGCAGATGCAGCAGACTCGGAGCTTTCAAAGTTGACGAATCCGAAACATTTTGAATTCCCATTCTCATCTTTCATGACGACTGCACTAGTGATGAGGCCAAACTTTTCAAACATTTTCTTGAGGCCTTCATCCCTAGTTGTTTCAGGTAAGTTCTTCACATACACATTCTTATATATATTATTATTTGTTGGGTTTCGCTCTCGACGGTTAAAAAAATGACCAACATACACTTTCTTATCGTTCATTAGCATGCCATTCAACCTCTTGATTGCACTCTGGGCGGCTTCCTCTTCATCAAATTGCACAAAACCATAGCCCTTTGATATTTCATTGTTGTCAACGGCTACCTTGCAGGAAAGCACAGTCCCAAAGGCAGAGAAAATTTCGTGCAGTGCTTTGTTGTCAATACAAGGGTGAAGATTCTTAATGAAAAGATTAGCGTAACCACTCTTACGCAGGCTAGGATCTCTATGAGAGAACATAATCCTTATAGGCTTTCCATTGACATTGGTAAAATTCAAAATGTGTCTTGCATTAGCAGCTGCAAATAATAATGATTAAACATGAAATTGAAATAATTAATTAGATAAACATGAAAAAGTGTTGACATGCATGCATGCATCTAAGAATGTAAGAAAAGAATGAGAAATTAACTCACCATCCATAGGAGTGTTGAAATTGACGTAAGCGTATCCAAGTGAGGATTGGCGATTGTGATCCCTGCAAACCCTAACTGAAACAACGGGGGCCACCTGGCTGAACAGATCATACAGTTTGCTCTCTTCCACACTCTTTTCCAGATCACCCACGTACAGAGACGACTTTGGGAACACTGAAATTGCTGATGCCATCCAAACAACTCAACCCAAATTTTAGATCAAATTATTTTTTTCTTTTTATCTATCTATGTATTTACGTTTATCGATCCTTCACTATTGTAATCACTCTCTCTTTAATCGGAGTATGAAATGAGAAATGCAGAAGAAGAAAGACCAAAATTCTAAGTTGCCTTTATGGTTTTTAACGGAACCAACATTTCACCAATCACAATGTGCCATCTCATCTGATTACGATACCTACAATGCACGGTATCGTTAATAATGCCAACAATGCACGGTCTAGTTTCCTACCAAGAGATTACATTTCGTAACTAACAGTATACATCANCAAAAGGAAAGCAGCATCAAATATTGATGTCTCCCTCTTCGACCAACACGGCCTTAGACCATACAACCGAATTAACAGACTGATCCACTGTAAAAGTAACAGACCCAAGGCAACCAATTAGGAAATAGATCTCATCAACCATGGAATTATAAACATATGAGAAAGAAGACTTTGATGACAGAGCCCGCGCCACAGCTTTATCCTCCAGTTTACAAATCAACTCAGACCAGTTCTTATGATATGCAAAGTGTAAGCCCTGTCCGATAGCAAAGAGAATAGCCATAGTTGGGTCTTGGAAGCTGCTATGGTGAGACGACCAGCAATGCAGCAGAACGTCATCTCTATGAATGATAAAACTCATCTTCAGCTTGTTCAATGAAGGATAATTAGCACTGACAACAAGAAGGTGTTGACTTACTCATTTATCTTCATTAACAACTTGAGATATATCAGCCACTGTAGAGGGGTCCTCTGTATGATGAGTACTCTTACCAATATCTGAAAATTCCAACCAAGATGATTTTGCAAGTGATACAATTTGGTTTTCAGAGATGGCAGATTTTTGAAACACCTAGGAGTTTCGAGTTTTCCATAACCACCACCACAACAAGTAGGTGGATAATGAAATTCTATCTTCCCAGTGAGAGGCCCTCCTCATCAAATATAAAGTTTCCCACCAAACCTGAAAACTCGTAGAATTGTTAGCCAAGCAATCCCATTGTGACCCAGCAAGCTTCCACACTATTTTAGCTATGGGGCAGAAGAACAAAATGTGCTCCAGAGTTTCCTCATGTTCACCACGCAAATCACAAATAATATCCTCACAAAGCCCTTTTGATTTTAACTTGACTTTATAGCTCAGAAAACCATTCCAACATCTGCAANCAAAAAAAAAAAAAAAAAAAAAATGATTTTATTCTGAATTGGGAGTTTCCAAGTGGTGACCATACCTTGTGCCTTCTCATATCATTCACACTTGAAGAAGCAACAAAAGAGGAATAGGTAGAGATAGAGAGCTTACTTACGAAGATGGTTTTATAAACTTCTTTAACAGAAAAGATGTCTTTTGGGCTGTGATGCCAGACAAGTTTATCTTTAAGGCCATATCTGCTAATAGGTACTTTGAGAATGTTGATAGCATCAAGTGGCCTAAAAGTCTAAAAAATGAGATCTCCATCCCACTGTGAGCCACCTACAGTCATAAGATCTGAGACAAAATGCAAATTCATCTTATCAGCAGCAAAACAACGATGAGGAGTGAAACCAATAATATCTGGGATCCAAGGAGAGTTCCAGATTGAAATGGCCTTGCCATTACCCAGTTGATATCTGAGAGCCAATCTAAGAGAGCTTCTAAACCAAGCCAGGACTTCCAAAGCCATGAATCAGAACTTTTAAGGGAGATATCAAAAATGTTTTGATTATGAAAGTATCTACCCCTGATAAGCTGACTAGTCTGAGTTAAAATCCTTCAAAGCTGCTTAAGAATGAGGGCTTCATTAAAAATAGCTAAATTTTTTAACCCAAGCCCCCCTCCTCTTTTGGCTGAGAAAGAAATTCCCATTTAACCCAATGAATTTTGTTCTTGCCTTTTTCATTTTGACCCCACCAGAAATTATGAAGGATTCAGATTCACGTCAGAGAGACTTTAGCCATGAAGGATTTTAAATGACTTTCAATCCTATTATGAATTTTCATTTTGATTATCACCGCCACAAACTTACACCATTGATGCCAGCTAGACAATGAATCTATAATCCTTTCCACAAATTTATTTAAAGAGTTTGAAAGGAGCATTTAAATTTCAAAAAACGTGAAAAGATTTCACATCCCTCAATCCAAACTTAGCATGTAATATTTTAATCTACACTGATATGAATTAATTAATCATAATTTGTGAGTCGATAGAAATGCATGTATATTTTTTTTTTTCTCGAAAAGGTAGATTTTATAGCTCCAAAAGAAATGTACCACCTACCGGTGGCTAAAGAGCCACTCTGCTACAAGGTAGACTCGGAGGATAACTAAAAGACTTTCTAAACTAAAAACCAAGATAAGATTGGAATAACTAGCCCTGCTTCCGGCGATGACTAGAGCAACCTAAACTGAGAGCTTGACTTATATTCACAACAATACTAGATGAAGAACAAGAGCTAGTACCTAGACGAAAGGTAAAACTACCATTAAACACCAGGAACCTAGTAGATATCATTGAGTTTGAAAAAGCTAAACTGTTGAGTGAGCAAATATTAGTCCACCATTGCTTGAAACTGTCAGTTTCTTGAAGTAGACCCTCCCAAGAAATTGGAGATAGTTTTCATATTCTCTTGGCTCTGGTGCAATGGAAGAAAAGATGCTCAATAGTTTCTGGTTTTTCTCCACAAGATTTACTGAGTTGATCAATACTCATCCTTTTCTTCAATAGACTGATGATAACTGGAATAATATTGGAGAAACATTTTCAAAGAAAATGTTTGATCTTCCCTTTGATTTTGAGTCCCTAGTTTCTTTCTCTTAGCCTTTTTGATGGTTTATTGAACTCTGTTGCCTTCAGGAATGTCCTGTCTCTCCCACTTCTCTGCAACCAGGTGGCCATAAGTGGAAGCTACTGAAAACTTTTCCTTCTTCTCATGATCCCACACTAACTTTTCACGACAATTAGGTTCAAGGTCTTTTATTCTGATGATGTCCTCACTTTCATGTTTAGTGAAGCAACTCTTCACATGATCAACATTCCAATTTCTTCTTATGGAGCTTAAGAGCTCCTTGACCCAAGTGATATTTCTCCTTGATTTTCTGAAGAGGGTTTGAAACCTTTCACATTGGGAATCCACGGGTGCTCTTATATGTTGATTGAATCTCCATTCTTGATCTCAAAATGTGGTGCCACTAAGGAAGGTGTCTCTGGCATTCATCCAAATATTTCACATCCATGATCCATTTTGCTTCTTCTTGGCTATGAGAGTCTTCCACGGGGACAATACTTAGCTTTGAGGATTTCGCTGATCATGAAGTTTGGATTGTTAATGATTCTCCAGAATTGCTTTTTGATGTGAGATTTGTTCATGAGGTGGATGCCATGGAAGCTAAGTCCACCTTTGTCTTTTGGTATGGGGAGAAAATTCCAGGATTTCAGTGGATGTTTCCTTTACCCTGATCTGCATTTCCCCACCAGAAAGAAACAAGTTATGCTCTGTGCAATTTTTCTGTTGACTGCCTTTGGAAGTAAGAAATAGGACATAACATAGTGTGGAAGAGCTCCCAGAACTATTCTCAATAGTATATCTTTCTTTGCAAGAGTTAGAATATGTTTTTCTAATTTGTAATTCTTTTTTTTTTTTAACATTTTTCTCTACGTGAGAGAAGGTTTCAAGTTTAGAATTTCCAATCCCTAAAGGTAAGCTAAGGTATCTTGTGGAGTTTGAGGGGTTATTCCTAGCAAAGTCTAACATATGATGAGTTTTGCAGGTTAACTTTCTGTCAAATGAAAGCAAGGTACTTGTTGAGTATCTCTAGCAACAAAAGGGCTTGTTCACTATCTTCCTGGGTGAACAAAATGGTGTCATCAACAAAGAGTAGGTGAGTAAGTGTATGGTTGTTCTTGGAAATTTTGATTCCTTTAAGAAGACCCTTCTGGGTTTCTTATTTGATAAGATGAGAAAGAATTCAGAAACAAGAATAAAGATGTGAAGGGATAGGGGGTCTCTTTGTCTTATACCTCTAGTAGGTGTCATATAGCGACATGTAGAGCCATTAACATTAAAAGAAAATGAAACGGTGGTTTAGCAATCCATAATCCATTTCATAAAAGAGACATGAAAGCCCAAATTTACACATGATTTGTCTAACACAGCTCCACTCAACTTTATCAAAAGCCTTGTCCATATCAAGTTTAATTGCAATAAAGGGGATTGTGGATTAATTACACAACCTTATCTATATATACATACATATATATATATATATATATATAGAGAGAGAGAGAGAGAGAGAGAGTTGGGTTCAAGTGAGAATGATACTTAGTGAAAGAAATAAGATTAAATCATAGCCATTAGATTGGATGATCTAATGGCTAAAAAAAAGTAAAATTTATACTTCCATTAAGGGTAATTTGGACATTACCATTACACTCACCACCTACATCACCATGCTACATCATCACCCCCACACAAACGACAGATGCATACACACGCCACAGACACACACACAGCTCTTGCACACACACACAAAACACACGCACACAGTACCACATATTATCTCTTACACAAACACACACAGTACTCGCACAAATACACGCAATTTTGATTATTTTCAATTTAGTTCATAGGCAAATCTGTAATTTATAAAATATATTCAAAATATTATCTTTTACATATTTTGTTGTACAAATTAATATATTATATTTTTTAACCAGAAAATAATATAAAAATATATAAAAATAATAAAATACTAAGTATACTTTTATAAAAATAAAAAATAAAATATTTCAATTATTTAGGTTAATGTGATGTACAATTATATATACTAAATTTTGGTTACTGAATACACATAGTTTATCTCGGATCACATAAAGCATGACATTTTTTATATCACCACGTTGCACCACGTTGCACTTTATAAAATTTCACATTGCACTTTATAAAACAACACATTGCACTTTATACAATCCAGAATTATTGAATACACATAATTTATATCGGATCACATAAGGTAGGACACTTTATATACCAGCACGTTGCACTTTATAAAATTTCACGTTGCACTTTATAAAATAGCACATTGCACTTTATACAATACATAATTATCGTCGATAGCTTCTGCCAAAATACCGCACATCATAACTCTAAAAATGTATCTACATAATATTTTAACATCCATCACATCATCCGCATACAAAAAACACATACATGCCAACGTGCAAAAGAAATGTCGTAGTGCACTTTATATATCAAAACGTTGCACTTTATAAAACAATACATTGCACTTTATCATGATATTCCACAATTAATGTCGATAAATGCCAACAAAATACCGCACAATATACATCTTAAAAAAAAAGATCGACATAATATTTTAATATATTTTGTTGCACATATATTTTAGGTCTTTTCAACAAAAAATAAAATAAAATAAAATCTATATATGTGTATATGTATATAGATAAACATAATGCTAAAATGTGAAATATATTTTTACAATATAAATAAAAAATTATTTTTTATGGTGTTTTGATTAACAGATATAATAAATCGACTATGTCGGTCCATTTTTATTTTTGGTTCAATGCGAATCATAAAAAATGAATGCATTGTGAATGCACAATAGTATTAGACGAGATGCATATTAATAACTATCAAACTACATATAGCTACTGAAACCGAACAAATTAAATTTTTTATTTGATATTCTATATTTTAATTCGATTAGTTATATTTATTTTTAAAATCACAACCATTTTAGTTCGGTGTCACAATTGCTTTATTTTTTAAAATAACCAAAATAACTAAAATGACCGAATTATATGAGAAATATTATTATTATTCTTTATATTTCCATGTATTGCAACTACACGTTAAGGTTATACGCATTGCACATTACTGACTACTGGATTGCACAATATCGAATGTTTTCCACCAAAATAATAATTTTAGTTCAATTTTTTTAAATCTCGTTTCAATTGCCATTTTTTCGCTTTTAAAAATTCGATTATGCCGGTTCGATATTGTTTTTTTCTTTTTTAGTTTAGAAAACCGAACAACCGGACTATATAAAGAAATAATTTTATTGTTATATTTTTAATGTACAGTGTTATTAATTTCCAACCACAAATTAAATAAGAAAAAAAAAGACGTTTTACATACTCCCTCCTATTTTTATTATTTGTCATTCTGACTTAATTGATCATTGATTAAATAAATGTCATTTTTGGCTATTTTGTTCATATTTTTTCATTTGTAACCTTTCATCTAATACCAGTGTCTCTTCATATCTCATCTCCATCGTTTCCCATAATATTCATAAAATAGGATTAATATTGACAAGAAAAAATTCTTAATTAANAAAAAAAAAAAAAAAAAATAGAAATGAGTAATAACTACAATATTATATATTTATTCATTTAATTATTATTATTATTGGCCATTGGGTACAAATTATGGCGTATTGAATACAGTGGCCACAAGGCCCACAACCTACCAAACAACATTTAATTTCATATTGAATTTATTGATTATGACTTGTCAGAAAGTGTGCATTTAATGGTGGAAAATAGTGAACACTAATTGCAAATGTTAAAATATTAATAAAGTTTGATTAATTACAAATTCGCCCATGACTTAAATTGTAATATTTAAAATTGTTAAAACTGCACTTATGCCTCTAAAACTTTTCAAATTTACAAAAATAAGGGCCTATCATAAATCTGAAAATCAATTCACTGTCCCTGCCCATTCATCTTGGTCGCCGTTGAGGACCTCACACTGCGGCCACCAGAGGACCTTAACTGTTCGACGATCACCTTCCCGATTTCAGACGCCTCCATCATCGGATATCTCGATTTCACCAAGCAAAAATAATTTCAGGGCATACTCTCCACCGCTGACATGATGGCACTCGCCGTGAAGGCCCAAGTGACACTCGATTGGCTGGTGGCCGCGCCTTGCCGGAGTGATGTCGGGACTGGTGGCCGTGAATGTCATCGTGGCGCTCGACTGTAGTGTTTCAGCGGCGGATATGGTGACAGTGGCAACGGGACGGGACGGGCCGATAAGACGGCGGCGACAGACTGAAACTTTGACGGGGTTGAGACCTGGTAGCTGTCCAACTGAGGACGGTGGCTACGTCGATTGGTCCGACGAAAGTCGGGTATGCCGAGGGACGAGGCAGTGGCAACTTCACTGGCGACTCTGTCGGCGACTGCGGCGGCGCATTGGAGGTCCGAAGGTGTGCATACATAGTTTGTGTGTGTAGTGTTTGATATGTCTGTGTGGGAGCAGACTGAGATGCATAGTCTATGTGCGTGAGTGTGTGTGAGAGAGAAACGAGTGTGAGGGAGATAGGTGACATAGTGAGTGGGTTTGGGGTCTGTCCCATTGGCAAGTGGAATTGTGATAAATGACATACATTTATCATTATTAAGTGGTCAAATACATATATTTTACTCTAATATGTCCACTTATTTACTATAATGCCATTCCATGTTTGACTGATTTTATTAATATTTAATTTGATCATATCCATTGATTTATTGGATCCAATGGTCATAATTATTTTTATTTCTTTCACTATCTACCATTCTCATATGATGAATTCTTTATATATAACTAGTACGAATCCCGTGCTATGCACGGGTAGGAGATATTTATTAGAGAGATTTGATACCATATAGTAACACCTTTCTAGTTCTTATATAAATAGTAACACCTTTCTAGTTCTTATATAAATAATTAAATATTTGTTTATTTTGGTTCTATTTTCTTTAACTAATACGAATCCTGTGCTATGCAGGGGTAGGAGATATTTATTAATATTTATAAATTAAAAATACACATTAAATAATATTTATAACTTAAAAATATGAAAAATCAATTGTAATACAATTCACCTATATTAAATTTATTGAAAATGTTATATGAAATTTAAATTGTGCAAAATTATAAAAAACATATCTATTTAAAATTAGTACACAACCCCTACGGTGAACGTAACTAATAATAAATTACAATATAATTTCAAATTAAGTGTCATTTTAAAATTTTCATTCAGAAATTCAATTTAACTACAATGGAATTCCATAAAATAATAATGTTGATAAAATGTTATGAATATTTAAAAATCTATGTGAATAATAAGTACAGTTATAAAACGATATTATTTCATTAATTAAATTGAATTTATTTTTGTATAAATTATCTAAATAAAAAAATTAGGTAGTTGAATAATTTATTAAATTATAAATAATTGATTATTCTATTTACGTCCAAGTTAATACTAACCCTTAAGTTATTAAGAATAACTTATTTGACTTTTAAATTTGGAAACAAAATTTAGACTACACAATAAATTCTTTATATATATTATCTCTCAATTTTTTAGATTTTTTTTCGGTTACCTTATTGTTCAAATTTATCAACTAATTCTCTAAAATTAAATTACAATTTTTAAATTTTATTAACTAATATTTGTTCAAAAATCCTTCTGATATTCAAAAGGAATACATATCAATTTGAAAAATTATCATCAAAATCGTGTTGGTTGATCAAATATTTAAGGGAAATGATGTACATATTGTATTATTTAAACCGTAAAGTTGTGAATTATTTGTAGAATAAATCAATTTGTAGTATATGAAATCCTCAATTTTTGGAATAAATCAATTCGTAGCTTTTGAGCCTACATTATATGGAATCCTCAATTTTTGAATTGTTATATTCTAAATAGTTTTATATTAAATAGTCACTATTGTGTGATTTTATGCATCATAACTGACTCATGAACCGACCTATCAAACGTGTTGGGGTGAATCAATGAAGATATTATTTAACAAAATTAGTTAGTACTAATCACATTAATAATAGTAGTTGGAATCCTCAATTTTAAAAAATATTTGAAGTGATATGTTTTTATCATGTTTAGGAAACTGGTACATTCTTTAATTAAAAAAAAATTCAATTTTAAACAGAAGACCAACATAATCGGTTAAAAAAAAGAAGTCAAATATATTGCTAAAATAAAAATATATTTTCCAAATGAAAAGGAACTTGAATTTATCCGATATGGAAGGAATTTCATTCAAAACATATTGAACTCATCCAAAACATACTGAATTTCGGAATGAAAAAAATTCAAACTTTCGAAAAAATTTCAAACAAAATATTAGAGGGAAAAAAGTGATTTGAGCGGTAAAATGAAATAATTTTTCAAACATTTTTTCTTCTCTCTATTATATAGTAACTAGTAATCGCCCGTGCGATGCACGGGAAAATTATTATCTTTACGCTTTTCAGAAGGCACTTTTGTATATAAATTGTGTAATAATGCAAAGATCATGATTATAAGAATAGACATATAAACATATAATTAAACTGAAAAGATCATATATTACTGAACACTTCCCTATATACAACATTATTGGTTTGATTCTTTGGCATGTCATCTTCGCCACAAATTAAGATTTTCAAACATTTTCGGTTAGTGACATGTGAGACAGCAACATATAACTGGTCATGAATGAACACTGGTTTCTTAAGAAATAAGCAAACATGAGATAAGGATTGTCCCTGGCTCTTATTTATAGTTATGGCGCAAGAAACCATAATGAGAAACTGCCGCTGCTGGAACTTGAAAGGAATTCTAACATCAGAAGGAGTTATGGCCATTCTTGGAATCAACACCTTATCACCAGCATGATCTCCTGTGAGTATCTTACACTCAAGAACATGTGTGGACAGTTTTGTCACAACCAATCGTGTCCCATTACACAAACCCATAGAATGATACATGTTCCGCAACAACATGAATGGAGTTCCAATTTTCAAATACAACTCATGGTTCGGTATTCCAGAACACTTGATACTATTTAAAAACTCAGGCATATGGAGATCAGACAAAAAATCATTATTAGAATCCGATTTGCATGTACTGTCAGAGCTCAAGTACATACGACCATCCAACAAATTCAATGATGTCATGTACTCATTGATAGAATCGGCCACATCCAACGTCGGTGCTAAAATTCAAATTACAAATCAACTCCCAATTTTTCAAAGAATTTAAAAAAAGTTATCAATTGTAGTAAAATCTAAAATTTTAGGCGAGAATTTTTTTTCAAACTTAAAGTAAATCCCTATTGTTGTTTTATAGTAGTAGATTGAATTTCCAAAAGAAGTAAGTCAAAGGTTTTGACTCCAATTTTTTATCAAGTTTATATAAATGATTTTTTAATCAACCTCTTTCAATATATATATAGATATAGATATAGATATATATAGATATATAAGTACATATATAGTACTCCCTCCTTTTTTTTAGTAAGTGTCGTTTTGAAAAGTTGCACAGTAATTAAGAATTTTTTTTTGTCAATATTAACCCTTATTAATGAGGATAGAGATGGATGTTTTGAGAAAAGATGAAGAATGAATATGAAAGAATGTAGTGTATTTATTAGCTAGATGGGGGTTAATAATGAAAAAATATGTACAAAACGTCATTTATTTGGTTAATTGTTAATAAAGTCAAAATGACATTTGAAAAAAAAAAGGAGGTAGTATCTATTAATATATATAAAAAAAAAAGGATTTATTATATATAATAATTTAAAACTTACCAAAAATGTTTAAATTACTTATAAAGAAACTTGTTTTATATGACTTGATATTACATTTACATTGATATAATTTGATCTCCTACAATCATGCTCCCTAAGTAACTAATAAATTAGATATCCTTGGTATATATATTTCAATGTGACCTTACAATTCGGAAAGAATCAATTGACATTATCCTCATCCACAATTCAACATCATCCTACCGGTTTTTTTGTTAAGAAATTAGTTCGAGTATTGCTTTTAAAATCTCATTTTTTTTACTCAAATTGCACGTGCTTTTTAACAAATTTTTCTAAATTATTAAGTCAAACAAATTAATTAAAAAGTCAAACATTCTATTTAAGTATTTTTCCAATAACTTTTTTATATATATTAAAAAGAATCATTATTTACTCCTGAAAATGAAACCGATTTTCCTACCAATAAACTAATTTTTTATCAAACAAATTGATCCGAATATTTTTTTAAATCAAATAAAAAATCGCCACTTTTTTCCTAAAAATGCAACTAAATTTTCCTAACACTGCACCGATTTTTTTACCAAACAAATTGAATTGAAAATAATTTTAATAAAAAATGGAAACAATTTGTTAATGTTTATGCAACTGTCTCTTTCCTAAAAAAAATGATATGAACTTAACCAAAAAAAAGAAAAATGATATGAACTTACCAAAATCTCAGTAAAACACATAAGAATCCAAAAAAATCGAAGCATTTAAAATTTGAAAAGTTGCACACAATTTTTCTTAAATAATTGGATAAGGTGACTTTAAATATCAAAGATGAACCGCTTTTGTTACAAAAAATGTGGACATAATTTTGAATGTACATCCCGTCCAAATATTAGTTTTATTCTAAAATAAAAATTGCACAGGTTTTATCCAATTTACACACTTTTTTTTTTAAAGAAAAAATTATTCAATAAGATTGAAAGAATTGGTTTAGAATTATACAACTATTTGTTTCCTAAATTCGTATCCAATTTGTACGGTTTTTAAGTTAATTCGTATTTAGAATTGTTTTCATAAATAATTAACACATTTTTTTGCATAAGAATCTCCAAATTTGTTACCAAAATATATGATTTAAATTTTGGTAAAAAAATAAAATATAATGCAAAAAAAATGGGATTCAAATTCTGCCATAAGTATCTCCAAATTAGTTACAAAAAAAATAGGTTTCAGATTTTGTTACTAAAGATTCAAATGTATTTTTTTGAACATTCCATTTATAGTAAGTCAATTGTTTTATTTATTGAGTCAAACTTTCTATTAATGTATTTTTCCAACAACCTCTTTATATATATATATAGATATAGATATAGATATAGATAGATAAATAGACCGTACAGATAATAATTGGAGATGGTTTAGCCTAATCGGCATCTGCAACGTGTACATCCTATGGAGCAGTGGTTAAACTTATCTGCAGCTCCACCGGATAAAGCTCCCAATACAGATGTACAATACAATCTTGAGCAATCAGATCTCAATACTCCCAAAAACAGATGGCAGAAGCGGAGACTTCACTGGTGCGTTTCGGAATCGTTGGCTGCGCCAACATAGCACGCAAGGTGTCGCGCGCGATTCTCCTCTCTCCCAACTCCACCATAGTCGCCGTCGGCAGCCGCTCACAAGAGAAAGCCACCGCGTTCGCGAAGGATAATGGGTTCCCGCCCTGGGCCCGGACCTACGGCTCGTACGACGCCGTCTTGGACGACCCGGCGGTGGATGCCGTGTACATCCCGCTCCCGACAAGCCTGCACCTTCGCTGGGCGGTCTTGGCGGCTCGGAAGAAGAAGCACGTGCTGCTGGAGAAGCCGGTGGCGCTGAACGTGGGAGAGCTGGACAAGATCCTGGCGGCGTGCGAATCGAGTGGGGTGCAGTACATGGATGCTACCATGTGGATGCACCACCCGAGGACAGCCGAGATGAAGGCGTTTATCAACGATTCCCAGCGTTTTGGCCGGCTGAAGGCGGTAAGCTGTGGAAGAGTAGTTGTTGATTAATGATTTCAAAATAAGTTGACAAGACTTTGCATCTACTCATCATATTTCATATTTGATGGATTGGGTAAAGCACCGAACAGTCAAACACATATCAGCTTTGCCAAACTGTGTGTAGTAGTAGTTATCTGTTCTCAAAACCTGAGTGGACAATTTTGTATCCTCTGTTTCACTATACGTTTATGACTTTATGTACTGTAGTTGCTTAATCTGCAAGTGTTTGCTCAACAAGAAGTATTCTATATTTAGTATTTAATCAGTGGTGCGCAATTAAAATTGAAGATAAGACACTCATTTCAAATGTCAATTTTGAAGTAATCCTGGAATTTTAGTTCCAACTTAAACTGAATGTGGAGGAATACAACTGAGAGGAGAAAGTGAATTCTATTCCAAGTTTGATCTTGAGACAAATTTTTCCGTGTGCAACAAAGAGATGAAAGTGAATTCCATTCCAAGTTGAGCTTGAGACATATTATTTGTGTGATTTTCTTGCACTGAGTTGGACTATTGTAAATGGAATGAATATAAAGGGGAATATATCCAAACTTGAAGACAAAGTGCTTCTAATAAAGTTTCTTATGAAGCTGTTATATTCCATGATAGATGCCTATTTCTCATATGTCCTTGCCCCATATGCTTGAATATGTTTAATTGTTTATTTGTAATTTTATTAACAATCCATGTAATATTCTGTTCCTTATATCTGACTGATGTGCTTTGATGCTTTTTAAAATGTTTCTCATTAGATCAATATTGACATTGTTTTCTGGATACTTGTCTTGATCTGATACTTAATTTTGAATTTTGACGTGGATGGCAAATTCCAAAGAGATCTTTCCTGCTGCTGAAAATATTTTGGCCTAAATAGTTTCTTTGACATATAATTTTCTTTAATGTTGCATGACCATTTACATTGAGGCTGCTTACATCTGATCTACTGAATATCTTTTTCAAAATTTGCTTCATTACGGAACCTACATGGAATGCTTAACCATTTATTGCAGTAGTTTTGAACATATAGTAAGTTGAGGAGTAATCTTATACATGTTTTGCCTCTCTTCTATCAGTTTAATCATGAAAATGAAGGTGAAGTATCCTTTTTTTTTTCTCAGTTTTTCCTGCCAGTGCTCCCCTTTTATGTTTATACTTTTTAGTTGCTGGATTTTCCCCTCGGCATCTGCAGGTACACAGCATATTCTCATATAACAGTGGCCCTGATTTTCTAAACAACGACATTCGTGTGAAGCCAGATCTCGATGCACTTGGTGCTTTAGGGGACACTGGCTGGTACTGCATCCGGGCCATATTGTGGGCTGCGGGCTATCAACTCCCCAAAACCGTGACAGCTTTACGGGATGCTGAGTTCAATGAAGCCGGCGTAATCCTGTCCTGTGGGGCCTCCTTGCTCTTCCACGATGGTATACTCGCAACCTTCTATTGTTCTTTCCTAAGCAACCTGACTATGGAAATCAGCGCCCTTGGAACCCATGGGTTTTTGCGGGTCCATGATTTCACAATACCCTTTCAAGAAAAGGTGGGCCCGTTTTACGTTCATGCAAACACCAAATTTGCTGAGCTTTCGATTGGGATCGAGCCAGGCCCGACCGAGCACCTTGTTGCTACAGATCTTCCCCAAGAGGCTATGATGGTGAAGGAGTTTTCGAGTCTGGTGGAGAAAATAAAGGTACATGGCTTTGGGACTGATAAGATTTGGCCGACTATTAGTAGGAAAACTCAGGTAGTGGTGGATGCTGTGAAGGCGTCGATTGAGAAGGGGTTCGAGCCTGTTGAGGTTGCGTATTAGTAGTTGTGACTGTTTAACATATATTGTATTATAACCAGGTTTTATAGCCTTAGTGACAGCCATTAGGCAGTAAAAAGAACCTTGGCATATTAGGCATTAGCCTTATGAGTCATATCTGCTGGATGAGGTTTGAGAATTTTCACATAATGTCGACTCGATCATTTGTGATAGTTACCACAATTTCTTTTCTCAGTCGAGATGAATCGTCGTCTTATTTGTGATAATTAATTGTAAGAATATGTGGCCCGAAAGCATTGGGCTCACATTTAATTATACCATTGGGCTAGACTTTTATTTAATAGTCAAACAAATCTAAGCAATTTATCTGGATATTTGATGGACGTGCCAGATCTAAAACACTCCTATATAAATTAGTCCTCTCTCCTCCTATTAGGTACGCAGTAATTATCCCTCTCCTCCTATTAGGTACGCAGTAATTATTCCATTACTTTTCTGCTACGTTAAAAAAGGTCAGGAGGGAGAAATTGATTTAGATCTACTAACCAATCGATTCAACCCCGTGTTATCATCAAGATCAAGATCACAAATTACCTGTCCTCCTATTAGCTACGCAGTAATTATCTCATTACTTTTCTGCTACGTTAAGAAAGGTCAGGAGGGAGAAATTGATTTAGATCTACTAACCAATCGATTCAATCCCGTGTTATCATCAAGATCAAGATCACAAATTATGTCGCCTTCCGCATCAAGTAAGTATTTTGTATATACACAAATTATTTATTCAAGATCCTTTATGAAGTTTACATGTGGTATTAGAGCATGTGTTGTGAATAAATAATATGTATGTATAAATCTCACGAATTTATCTATGCGTAATTGGATTGATGTTCTATAATTGTTGTCTTCGGGAAATTAATAGCATGAATTTCAATGATGTCCTAATCGTGCGAATTTAATTTCCTGTGTTGCTCCAATTCGCATCAATTATTTGTCTCTGAATGAATTCCACATCCTCCCCGCATCATTACTGTTTGCTGGGAAATGTTAATATGAATTATGAGTGGATTCACATCAAATACAAGAATTTTTATTGGATGGAATCACAATTCACGCATAGATGATGTTATTATGTTTTTGTTGATGATCTGTATTGAACATTATGCAACAAAAGGTTTTATGATGTTTATTTTATTGTATGACATTAAGATAAAATTAATTTGTTAGTCACCAAAGTGACCAAATTAATTTTAATGTTCAGTTATATAATATTATTGTTACAATTAATTATTATATGACATTAAGTGAAAATTAATTTGTTAGTCACCAAAGTGGTCGAATAAATTTTTTTAATGTTTGGTCATATAACTTATGTTCTCTTGAGAATGTCATTATTCAAGATAATGAGTTTATTGGTTGTTAGAAATTATGGATTTACCCAAAGGTGAATCAATGTTCTATAACTAATAAACATTAAGGAGAAATATAATATTCTTTTGTCGAGCGTATGTAGATATCCAAAGATACTATGTATGTTAGACGAAATTTATTTAATTTCTGATTAAGTGTTAAATGACATTCGACTCATGATAATGATATTTATTGTGTGTTTACCCAAAAGAGACCTGCAATATATGTGATTAACGTATTTTCTGAATCTATTAATTAAGTGAGCGTTTATGATTGTGCAGCTATCTCTCTTCATTCGCAAGCTTCTTCTGTTACTGTCTTCAATGGTTTGAATTTCTCTGAATGGCGTGAGCAAGTCAATTTCCATTAGGTGTTTTGGATATTGACTTGGCTCTGCTTGAAGAAAAGCCCGCTGACATTAATGATCAAAGCAGTGAGGCTGAGAAATCAAACTGTAAGGCTTGGGACAGGTCTAACAAATTATGTTTGTGCTTTATGCGAATGACGATTGCCAACAACATTAAGTCAACTCTTCCCGATAATGTGGATGCGAAAGCATACCTTTGCTTGTGGAAGAGCGTTTTCGTTCCGCAGATAAGTAATTGGCAGGAACACTTATGGCTGAACTCACGACCAAAATGTATGATGGGTCGCGAAGTATGTAGCAACATATTCTTGACATGACTAATCTTGCAGCAAGGCTTAAGTCCCTGGGTATGACTGTTGATGACTCATTTCTGGTGCAATTTATGCTTAACTCGTTGCCTCCTGAATATGGGCCATTTCAAATTAACTGTAACACTATTAAGGATAAGTGGGATGTTAATGAATTGGCCAGTAAGCTTGTTCAAAAGGAGACGAGGCTTAAGGCACAAGGAGTTCATACAGTCAACCTTGTGGGTCATGGAGCTAATAATGTTCTCAAATCAAAATCCAACAAGTTTAAGAAGAAGGGACCTGCTAAAGTTTCACAGGTCACTAATGATGAAAAGAAGGAAAATCAGGCAAATAAATGTTATTTCTGTAAGAAAGAAGGTCACATACAGAAAGATTTCCTGAAACGCAAGTCATGGTTTGAAAAGAAAGGTATTTCTAATATCTTTGTATGTTTCGAATCAAACTTGTCTGAAGTTCCTTCAAATACATGGTGGTTGCATTCTGGTGCTACAACTCATGTTTCTAATGTGATGCAGGGATTTTTTACAATCCAGAGCATAAACCCAAATGAGAACTTCTTGTTCATGGGGAACCGTATGAAGGCCCCAATTGAAGACATAGGGACTAATCGTATTGTTTTAGATTCCGGGCACCACCTGGATCTTTTGCAAACTCTCTATGTACCTTCATCTTCTAGAAACTTAATGTCTCTTTCGAGACTTGATGTTCTTGGGTTTTCCTTTAAGTTTGGACATGGATGTTTCAGTTTGTTTGATAAACATGATTCCATTATTGGTTCTGGAATTCTTATGGATGGTTTATATAAACTGAAACTTGATGTTGATTTTTCTGCATCTTTAATGTGTGTTCATCAAAACATTGGAATTAAACGTGGTGTAACAAATGAGAACTCTGCTTTCTTGTGGCATAAACGTTTGGGTCATGTATCCAAAGAAAGAATGCAAAGGTTGGTGAAAGATGAGATTCTTTTGGATCTAGATTTTTCCGATCTTGAGTTGTGTGTGGATTGCATTAAGGGAAAGAAAACCAAACATAATAAGAAAGGAGCCACAAGAAGCAATCAGCTTCTTGAAATTATACATACCGACATATGTGGACCTTTTGATGCTCCATCCTTCAATGGAGAAAAGTACTTAATTACCTTTATAGACGATTTTTCACGTTATGGTTATGTCTATCTGCTCAAGAAAAAATCTCAAGCTGCAAATGCACTTGAGGTTTTCATTAATGAAGTTGAAAGACAGTTAGACAGAAAGGTGAAAATAGTAAGGTCTGATAGAGGTGGTGAATACTATGAAAGGTATGATGAATCGGGACAAAATCCCGGTCCATTTGCTAAGTTCCTCGAAAGACATGGCATATGTGCACAGTATACTATGCCAGGCACACCTCAACAAAACGCTGTAGCAGAAAGGCGAAATAGAACACTAATTGATACGGTTAGGAGTATGATAAGTAATACATCATTACTCAAATCTTTGTGGATGTATGCACTTAAGACTGTCGTGTTTCTGCTAAATAGGGTTCCTAGTAAGTCAGTTCCTAAAACTCCTTTTGAGTTATGGTCTGGAAAGAAACCTAGTTTGAGACACCTGCATGTTTGGGGTTGTCCAGCAGAAGCACGAGTATACAACCCACATGAAAAGAAATTGGATTCTCGAACTGTGAGTGGTTACTTTATTGGTTACCCAGAGAAGTCCAAAGGGTATATGTTTTACTATCCTAATCATAGTTCTAGAATCGTTGAAACGGGCAATGCTAGGTTTATTGAAAATGGTGAAGTTAGTGGGAGTGCAAAAGAGACTGTGGAAATTAATGATATAAGGGTTGATGTTCCATTATCCATTAACGTTCCAATATCCACAGTTGTTCCAAATATTGTTCCATAACCTCAAGAACAAAATAATGGTGGACAAAATTTGGATGAAATAGTACCCCATGAAGAAACTAACTTGCCACCAATTAACACAAATGAACCACGTGGAATAGCATTAAGCAAACCTACAAGGGTGAGAAGATATGCTATTTCGGATGATTATGTGGTTTATTTGCAAGAGTTGGATTATGATACGCATTGATGAAGATCCTGTTTCGTTTTCACAAGTTATTAACAGTGACGAGTCTCATAAATGGATTGATGCTATGAAAGAAGAGTTAAACTCTGGCTAAAAACAATGTTTGGGATCTAGTAGAATTGCCAGAAAGTTCAAAACGAGTTGGGTGTAAATGGGTCTTTAAGACCAAACGCGACTCGAGTGGCAATATTGAATGACATAAAGCTAGACTTGTTTCCAAGGGTTATACTCAGAAAGATGGCATTGATTATAAGGAGACTTTTTCACCTGTTTCTAAGAAGGATTCTTTAAGGATCATTATGGCTTTAGTAGCTCAGTATGATATAGAGTTACATCAAATGGATGTGAAAACAGCCTTTCTTAATGGGGACTTAGATGAGAAAGTTTATATGGATCAACCCGAAGGGTTTTCCATAGAAGGAAAGGGTCACATGGTGTGTAAACTTAAGAAGTCAATATATGGACTTAACAAGCTTCCAGACAATGGTATATTATGTTTAATGATACCATCATGTTTTTTGGTTTTCAAGAAAACACTGTTGATCGGTGTATTTACCAGAAGATCAGTGGGAGTAAGTTTATATTTTTGGTTCTATATGTTGACGATATCCTACTTGCTGCTAATGATTTGGGAATTTTGCATGAGACTAAAGATTTTCTCTCAAAGAATTTTGAAATGAAAGATATGGGAGAGGCATTTTATGTGATTGGAATTTCTATATTCCGGGATAGATCACAAAGATTGATGGGATTGTCTCAGAAAGCTTATATCGAGAAAATTCTTGAGAGATTTAGTATGAACAATTATTCACCAAGTGTTGTCCCATTACAGAAAGGGGATAAGTTTAGTATCATGCAATGCCCTAAGAATTATGTGGAACGGAAGAGTATGGAATCTATTTCATATGCTTCTGTTGTGGGCAGTTTAATGTACTTGCAAACTTGCACGAGGCCTGATATTAGCTTCGTTGTTGGAATGCTTGGGCAATATCAAAGTAATCCTGGATTGGATCACTGGAAAGCTGCAAAGAAAGTGATGAGATACCTTCAAGGGACGAAGGATCATATGCTCACGTTTAGGAAATCTGATCGCCTTGAGGTGATTGGATATTCAGATTCAGATTTTGCTGGGTGCCTTGACAGTCGTAAGTCAACATTTGGCTATGTGTTTCTCCTCGTCGAAGGAGCAATTTCATGGAGAAGTGTCAAACAGTCTGTCATAGCTGCATCTACTATGGAGGTTGAATTTGTAGCTTGTTTTGAGGCTACAATTCACGCATTATGACTACGGAACTTTATTTCGGGACTTGGGGTTGTCGACACCATTACCAAGCCGCTGAAACTGTATTGTGATAATTCTGCAGCAGTTTTTTTCTCCAAGAACGAAAAATATTCCAAAGGTGCAAAACACATGGAATTAAAGTATTTTGCCGTTAAAGA